CAAGAATAATCAAGTTTTTGCAAGAAATAATCAAGCCCTTCGAATTAATCTTTTCATATTCCAATCTTGAAGAGTCCAGGAGGGTTCTGGTACAATATTTTGAACAATAAAAGCAATTAAGTATATTAATTTAAGTAATTAATATAAATTGATGTGAATACAGCAAGAACACACTGTTTTGATAATATAAACACAGCACGAATTAATAAAGCAAATGAGATTCGAATTCCAGAGTCTTAGAGGACAAGTTTGGAACAACCCTTTTAAGAATCCTTAAAGATAGACAACTTGCATGCTATGTTGGAACCTCATAGAAGAAGGCTTTATGGCTTCTGTTGTAGAATTTTCTTTCAACAAAAAGGCTTTTAGAAGCCAATTAATCCATGAATTCAAACTTTTAAAAATAGCCCTTTATAAAGGCATCTTTCGACTCTTTTTTCAAGCTTTGGATACCATTTCTTGTTTATATTTTAATTTTTTAAAGTTGTTTTGAGTTTGTTAATTGATACCTTCCAATATCAGTGCCTCACATACATTGGCGGACCCAGCACCCGGCCAGGGGGGGCAGCCGCGCGTTCTGCGGCTCCAACAAAAAAATTTTTGGGTGCCTCCTGCCTGACTGCCTAGTGAGTAATTTTTTGTTCTGCCCGACTGCCCATCTCATTTTTTTTTAATTATTATTTTATTTTTGGTTTTGGTTTTTGGTGTTATTATATGTTTATGAGTTTTGAAATCATGATTTTGTGATAATTTTCAGTTTGTTTGAAATATGATTTATGAATTGGAATTGGGAGAAATTAAAATTTGAATTGGAATTGAAATTGGAAAATAAATTTGGGATCGTAATTGAATTTGGAATTGGATATAGGGTTTGGAATTGGGGGAATTGAAATCAAAAGTTGAACGATTGTTTTTCCGAGACAACTACTGAGCTTCTAACTTGCAGTTCGTGTTTAAATCTAAGAGATTCCTTTGCAGTATTTGATTGGGGTAAATTGATACGTCTTGCTCAGTTGTATCCTTGGGACTTCAATAATGAAGAGCTTTTATTACTTCG